TAAATGTACCTAAATGAGACAGATTGTACCTAAACAAATTTACATGATTCATTTGTAGTTTTTTTTTAATAAATTGTATTTAAAACATGAATACAAAAGATATATGTACTTTAAACATGATTAGGGTTTTCAACTGAGCCTATATCTATAGACTATAGTCTAATGGGAATCGGGGAAGCATTGTTTTTGTCTAATTTTGACTACTGAAAAATATTGGCGAAAAAGACAAAAAACACACTTTGCGAAGTATACTTCTTTATCCAGCTTTTTATAAAACAACAAGAAGTCTGCTAATTTATCCGATTCCTTTTAATAGGTGCAGCAAATCTAGAGAATATAATCAATGTGCCGAAGTAACTTCGAAAGCATTTTAAATATATTTCAAGAAATCAAAAAGCGAGTATGGGTCCAATAGCTGTAGTTCTCATCTAAAAATATGAAATTTGAAGACATCCTAGACACTGGACTGTATGGATGAATAAAAGTTGGTTTTCACAATGTAATATTTTGACAACAAAATTTTTTGATTTATTTTGACACAACTTTCTTTTCTTTATCCCTACCTTTATCGATGATATTATGGGCCAAAAACTAACAAGTAGCCGCCTTAGCAGCGCATGTACACGCCTGAAGGCCTATTCTGATCTAAATCAAACCAAAGACCATTTTTTAGTCTCATTTGACAATGAAGGCCTATTCTGATCTAAATCAAACCAAGGCCAGTTTTTAGTCCAATTTCACTCTAAGTAAAGCTAAGTAAAGTGTTAATTTCTCGTAGTGCCTGCTCTAAATGCAATGTAAAATGTTTAAGATAATACATAATATGGTTTTTTTTATGTCTTCCTTTTGACCACTTTTCTCTAGAATTGTTTATTCTTCAAAATGAAAGCGAAACTTCTCCCGTACCTACAAGTAAATATATTAGCAAGGTAAAGGAAAAAAACGAATAATGCATCTGATCAAAAGATGATTGTACCTAAAATCTAGTGACTGTACCTAATGTACCTTTAAGTCATCAAACGTCGGAAAAAGGTACAATTGTACCTACTTTTTCATCCCTGGTGTGTACACACACAGCGCGCGGGTGCATGCGCGCGTACCAAATACGCCGTCAAGCGATTGGAATGGTGTTTGGGGTCAATGTACGCCAGCGATTTTTGGTAGTTTTAACGGTTATTGAACTCTCGAAAATGTAAAAGTAGGTAGAAAGGTAAGTGACCCCCACCACGAACTACCGAGAAGACGCAACGCACTCACTCATCGCCGACGCCGTCGCCATTGGTGGTATGGTGCTGAAGCAGCAAGTAAGCTCACCTTAAGCCAGCGAACGAAGGTTTTCACTTTTACCAACTAGCGACGCATTTAACGCGTAGTGTGAATGCGTGGATGAATGTGCACATTGAGTGTTAATGTGCATGTTTGGAAACTTTTTAAATTTTACTAGAAATTGGATCGATGACATGCGTGCAACGCCTGGAAGCGCAAATAAAGAGGGCGACGCACTTCAGAAAGTAGAGTAGAATGGCAAGTCTTGTAAAAGTTTTGATATGACACTTTTAACCCTTTTATGAGTTTATGCTAACGAATACAAACAAATTGCAAATTGAATAGTTGATTTTGATCTAGGTACAAGCACTGAGAGTTCTATCCAGATTTTTTACTGTTCGGATATACGAATATCTGAAAAAAACCCGCTTATACGGATATCCGGCTATTTGTATCTAAAAGGTAACAAGATAAAATAACAATTGTTTGTATATCCGGATAACCTAATGAACGGATATTAACCGGATATCCGCATTTTCTCCGTATACACGAGTATCCAGCCCTAAAGCATGTGAGGTTTGATAACCCAATAGTGATATATTGAACTCGTTACATTACCGAAAAAAAAAACAATTTTGTAAACCTGCCAACATGTGTTTCGGGTGGTATGTTTAAGCGTTTACACGTTCGAACATCGATAGCCATCACACCCAATGTCGCCGCGCCCAAAAAATAAAATTTACCAAAGTCCTCCAGAAAATTAAGCAAATATCGTAAAAATTAATCAAACTATTTTAACGGACCTTACCACAACGAAATATATTTGGAGGTAAATTGCTAACGGAAATACAAAGTAAGGGCAATCTAGGATTCCGTTTAACCGCTCAAAATAAGGATTTTATAGTAAATTGCTTATTAACTAAATATTTTAACTGCTAGAATCGCGGTGACAAGAACTAGTAACATTTTTTGGTAATAAAATTTTCCGGTTACAAAATCTTTGGTAACGTGCAGAATAGACCTATTAGAATACATTACAGCTGCGCAGATTTTATCGAAAGAGGTTCATTGAAGAGATTTAGCTACATTATTATGTGATTGCCCGCGTATAACTGGACTTAGACATATACACCTTGGAGAACGATTATCATCTCTATCCAGAATTTGAAACATTACACCCTCCAAAGTGCTTCACTTAATTAAGCCTCAGGATGGATTGACTAGTTAGATAAGGGTTAGCGCAAAAGATCTAGCTAGGTCGCAGCGCTATATGCCCAAATAAAAATAATAAAAATGGGATTAATCTATCGCTTTCAAGTGGAAAGAAGTTCAAAAAAATATAGCAGACGATTCAATCTTTGGCCCTCGGAGTGTACGTATGACTAAAACACTGGAAGCATGCCTTCCGTCTATCACACCATGTTCGATTTGGTTTCTGGTTTTTCGACCTGGAGACAGCCATGTAGCTTGGTGGATCTTCGCTCCCAAACGGGTGTTTCGATGCTACCCAGAGGATACGTAGATATAAATATCCGGACGTTTTGAGCTGCTATTTGAACCGTACGCACAAGAATCACTTCTGGCTACTCCCAGGTGAATGGCAGTCAAAAACTTTCCACTTTTGCGCACGGAACCATCTGCAACGGCACTAAATTTTGTAAATAATCTGTGGATGGAAAATCTGCATACATAAATCCTCCATACGTCCTAAACTTTGACCCGTTAGACTACCATAGGCGAAAAATGTAATTTATGATTTTTTTTTTTGGTACGGGAGTTGATAACTTCTTATGAGTTCAAATTCGTTCTGTTGATTGTTTGTGGTGCTTTAAAAACAAAATTTGTGTGAGATATATATATATATATATAGATTGGCGCTTACACATATTTATGTTAGTGTTTGGCCGAGCTTCTCCTCCGATTTGTGGCGGGCGCCTTGATGTTGTCACACAACGAGGAGGGACCTACAGTTTTACGCCGACTCCGAACGGCGATTGTATTTTTATGAGAAGCTGTTTTTATGGCAGAAATACACTCGGAGGTTTGCCATTGCCTGCCGAGAGATATATGTACAAATATTAGCTCTGATCCAGTACTCCCTTAACTTACAGGTTTTTACACGAACTTCCAGGAAGTTACGGAAAAATGATCCCGTACTCCATAATCCAGTAAATGAGAGCGATTTTAGGAGAGTTGTGTAGAGAATGAAGTTGTAAGATTTTACCCGAACTTTTTCTTCTGGTAAAATCATGAAGTGTTTATTTGCTCCCGTACTTTTTGTTGTTACTAACAATTTCGCTGTTTGACATTTTTACAGGATTTTACACGAAAGGTATTGGATCAGAGCTATTATTGTAAATTATTTCCCTATCCCTTAAAACAACCAATCCGCTTTCAATGGAACAAGCAAAAGAAGCAGCACTTGAATACACTTTTATACACCTACATTCATACACAAGTACGTACCCTGCAAAAAATGCTACGAGTCCGGGATGTGTCCGGAATGAGTCGCAAAGGAACATGCGACTAATGCCACTTTGCATCCCTTTGTATGGACTGAACTGTTCCCTTTTGTTCGAGCATGTCCTATGAAGAGACTAATTGAACCTTTTTGTACCCGAACGGGTATAAAGTGAGACTAGTCGCTTTGATGCCCTGCGGGACTAGTCGCCTTTTCTACCCTAAAGGGGAGCTTTTAATACCTTTAGTAAAATTTTGTTCCACATAAACATAACAAACACAATTTAGTTTTTTATTTACTATTTATTGCCATTGATTTATTTTTAGTTTGCTACATATTTCAGTTCTTAATTCATTTATATAGTCTTTATTGATTAATTTTTTTTATAACATTTATTTGCAAAGGTTTTTGTAATATATTATCACAAATAGCATAAAAATATTAGCACAATTTATTTTTCCCGATTAATTCTGTTGTGTCTAAGTAAACAAATGTTTAATTATTTTTAATGCTAATATAGTTTATCTTACTTAGACACAAATGAATTAAATCTGGCAAGATCAATGGTGCTATTTTGAAAATACACTATACTACTGGAATTACTTACTTTACAGTTGTAATTTAAACCAGAAAAATTCATTTAGGTTCGTACATATTCGCTTGTTTACAGCCTTTTTCAGTAAAAATAGTGGGAGATTCAATAAAATTTTTAAATTATTATTTTTTAGTTAAATTAAAAACTAAGGCACTTCAATTTAGAATTATTTATCCTATCTTACAAGGTACAGGTGGGACTTAAATTAGTTTATTTAATAAGTAGTAATTGTTTTTAAAAGGAGATCACATCTTAAATTCGGTTTAAGAAAAAAAAACAAACTTATCACATTTGATTAGTACATTAATTTATAATTTAAACTCAAAAAATCACATGCACTTTTAAATTAAAGTAAAATTTTTAAATTAATTTCATTTGTACCATTTCGTTTTAAATTATAAGTTAAAAATGCGTAAATTTATAGTTTTATTTTGGTTTTTGGTTTTTTGTCTATAACTTGTTTAAATGCAAAATGTTTAAATTCATTTCATTTGCACCATTTCGTTTTAAGTTATAAGTTAAAAATACGTTAACTTAAAGATTCATTTTGGTTTGTCAATAACTTTTTAAAAGTAAAATTTTTAAATTCATTTCATTTGAACTATTTCGTTTTAAGTTATACGTTAAAAATAAAATCCATTTCATTTATCCCATTTCGTCTTAGGTTATAAATTAAAAATCCCCTAATTTAAAGTATCATTTTGGTTTTTTGTCTATATATTTTTTTAAAATGTTTTGATTTCTCAAATTGCAAGGCTTTCCTTAGAGACTCTTCTGGCGTCAATCCTTTCAAAGGCAACTTCGCTATAGCTCCTGAAAGTTTAAATATAAAATTTAACTAAATCAGTTTATGAGTTAAAAAAAAAAATCTTTAATACCTGTAAGCGTGTGGTAAAAGTTTTTAAAAGATTTGAGTCCAACTTTACCATGCGATCCATCGACATTTAAAGCATTAATAACATCACTCCTTATGACCAGTGTTACATTTTTTAGGTTAAATTGAAGTATAGAAGAAATGGCAGTTTCCTGAAAAAATGGTAGAAGTGAACGCCGTTATTAATAAAAAAAAAAATAATAATGTGTTTTAAAATATATACATACATAGACATCTCTATTGTCACATGTTATCTTATTTTCCAACTGCTGCATTTCTGATATGTTACATATCGGGAAGTATTTTACAACTGGTGCCTTCTGTGATTCTTGGCGAACCAGTTGCTCAGTAGCCACCTTCTGCCCAGCTATTGCATCCATAATTGCAGCGTTCTGAGTTTCCACTACCCTTTGAAGCTTGTCGACCTTGGCATTCAATGATTCTAGTTGTTTTTGGAAGATTTCGCAGTGACTGCAGCACACAACTTCATACACATCTTGGTTGGACTCTGCAAATTGTGGATTTAAATACAATAAATAGGTAATTCTTATATTGAACATATATTACTAGGTCCATAAACCGACTCCTTTCCAAACCGATTTAACAGAAATGGGGTTCTCATTATGTAAATAAATAAAAGTTTAAATTTATGTAAGGAAGAAGTCGGAAGTGTCCCTATGAATAAAAAAAATTACCAATTTTCTGTCCGATTGCTGACGTTGACACACTTATCCTACGTGATTCTGAAAAATAAAACTAAATTGTTATAGTAAAAAGAAAGAGGCAGTTTAATTACATACAGGTATGTAAAATCGGAATAAGCAGAATTTTCTCCGTTAATGTGATGCACATTAATTTGTATTCCACATCATCTAGTAAAAATTCCTCTTCATTGCACGACGGAGTGAGGTCTGCAGTACATATCCCTAACGTGGAAGAATCAATTGGTTCTATGAAAAAGCTCTGTAAATTTAACAATTTCTTGCCTTTTATGATTTTACTATTTACATCTTTAAAGTTTTGTATTTCTATATACTGAAATGGTTTAACAGAACAGTAATTATTGGGAAATTTACTGGTTAGAGAAAAATCGTCAAAATGAAAACTTTTTATACAATAATTTTTAGTTTGATATCCAGTAAATTTTAGAGGTGTCACAATTTTTTCGTGTTTTAACATATTTGTAATTTGTTGCAAAATTTGAGTTGGTTTTTTAACGTATGATTATAAAATTTGTAAATAGTTTTCAAATGAGTAGGCTGAATAGGTTGAAGGTATGCCCAGTTCTCTTATATCTTCTGAAATATGAAGCAAGCCATGTACATTGTACGAAACGCTATTGTCTCCAAAAACGGCTGCAAAATTGTGTACAAACAATTTTAGTATATCTCTGCCTACCTCAATATTAGAACTATAATTTTTAGGGCAGAACAATAACCGACAAGCACAATGCAGAAGCAGGAATTCATAATAAATATCATTGGGAAGTTCATCTTTTAAGACATATATTCCAAAATAGAATAGGAACATGCGGAATTCGGTAGCTTTCCAATTTGATATTTCATCCAAACTTCTTGGTTTTCGTACAAACTCTTTAGTGACGTGTGAGGATAAAGCTACTAGTTTTGAAGAAATATTAATTTTTGCTTCCCTTTTTAACTTATGGTTCGATTTATTGTTGATTACTCGTAAAAGAAACTTACGCATGACACCTAAATCAATTAAATGCATGACATCAAGAGGAACTTGAGTTATCATATTAATATTAATCTTCTCCAGAGGAGATAAATTGGTCTTGAAAGCAGATATATGTCTATGAGGGTATTTGCGTTCCAAAAAATCAGTGTTGGATATAAGCGTTCCCACACTGGTACTATAGGTTAGTACGCCTTCAATTTTTTTGGCCACTTGATTACATTTGGAACAACCATGTCGAGAAGTGTGCCCAGGTATTCCGCAGAGAAATGATTTCGCTGGCGCATCACAAATAAAAGCCCTAACCTGAAACGTAATGCAGCGACCATTGCATTCGAAACCAGAAGCTTGAAGGTCTGCAACTTCTTCGGTAAATTCGCTTAAAAATTGTGTTATAGAATCTGGCTTGGATTGTCCTACATAAATACCAGCAGCGAAAACCGATGTGTTTGGCACATTAACAATCTATACATATAATAAAATTTTAACAGGTCGATGTCTGTACATTATAGATATTAAGGAAAAATTAATGTGGAGGGTCTTTTTTAGAGCACCAGAACCCAAATCAACCATTTTTAGAATTTTTGTCTGTCTGTCTGTCTGTCTGTATGTTTGTTCGCGCATCACTAGAAAACGAATGCATGGATTTGAATGCAGTTTTCACCGATGTATTGCTAGAGGTCTAAATTAAAATTTAGGAAGAAAAAAATTAGAGAGTTGCCACCTGTTTGAAAGTTGGAGTTTAAGTAAATTGATAAGAAAAAATGAATATTGCAATATGGGCGTCAAAAGAAAGAGAATGAAGAAGGCTTACAGCCAGAAATATTTTTTTAGAGTTGCCACCTGTTTGAAAATTTACATTTAATTTAATTTATAAGATAAATTGAATATTGCAATATGGGTATCAAACTGAAAGGGTTTAGGAAATTATATTGCCGAAAATATTTTTAGGGAGGGCTGCCACCTGTTTGAAAAATTTTATTGAATTAAATGATAAAATAAATGAAATCTAAATCTACATCTAGATATCTATACATATAATAAAATTGTAACAGGTCGATGTCTGTACATTATAGATATTAAAGAAAAATTAATGTGTGGGGTCTTTATTAGAGCACCAGAAGCCAAATCAACCATTTTTAGAATTTTTGTCTGTCTGTCTGTCTGTCTGTATGTTTGTTCGCGCATCACTCGAAAACGAATGCATGGATTTCAATGCAGTTTTCACCGATGTATTTCGAGAGGTCTAACTTAAAATGTAGGAAGAAAAAATTAGAAAGATGCCAGATTTTTGAAAATTGGAGTTTAAGTAAATTGATAAGAAAAAATGAATATTGCAATATGGGCGTCAAAAGGAAGAGGCTAAAGAAGGCTTACAGCCAAAAATACTTTTTTAGATTTGCCACCTGTTTGAAAATGTACATTTAATTCAATTTATAAGATAAATTGAATATTGTAGTATGGGTATAAAACTGAAAGGGGTTAGGAAATTATATTGCCGAAAATATTTTTAGGGAGGGCTGCCACCTGTTTGAAAAATTTTATTGTATTAAATTGATAAAATAAATGAAATCTATATCTACATCTATACATATAATAAAATTGTAACAGGTCGATGTCTGTACCTTATAGATATTAAAGAAAAATTAATATGGTGGGTTTTGATTTAAGCTACAGAAGTAAAATAAACAATTTTTGAATCTCTGTCTGTCTGTATATTTGTACGCACATCAGTCGAAAACATGGAATTGAGTGCAGAGTTTTCACCGATGTATCGCTAGAGATCTAGCTTCCAATATAGAAGAAGAAATTAGAGAGTTGCCACCTGTGTTTAAAATTTCAGTTTAGGTCAATTGATACGGTAAAGTGAATACTGCAATATGGCTGTCAAAAGAAAGAAATTTACAAAGGCTTACAGCTGAAAATATTTTTGGGGAAGGTTGCCACCTATTCGAAAACTTTAATTTAATTTAATTGATAGCATAAATTAAATATTGCAATATTGGCATCAAACTAAAGAGGCTAGGAAATTTTAATGCTAAAATATTTTTAGGGGATTTGCCAACTGATTGAAAAATTGTATTCATTAAAATTTGTAAAATAAATGAAATATTCTTAAAGCGGGTTCGAAAACTTTAATTCAGTTAAATTTATAATATAAACTAAGTGTTGCCATATCGGAATCAAACGAGGGTATTTGAGAATATGTTAAAGAAAAATTAATAGGGGGTTTATTAGATCAACAGAAGCCAAATATAAAATTTTGGTATGTTTGTCTGTATGTTTGTAAGCGCATCACGCAAAAGCTAATGTATGGAGTTAAATGCAGTTTTCACCGATGTACATCTTGCTAGAGCTCTAATTGAAAATATAGAATCCATTTTTTTTTTTTTTGTTTTAGTTTATCGTCGATCATTATTCCTAGGTATTTGAACGTATTAACTTTTTCCAGTGTGTCGTAGTTTATATTTAGAGTTAGCAACGGACCGTTCTCAAAATTTCGCCTTGATATAACCACAAACTTTTTTTTTCTGTGTGGAAGGTTTTTCGCTAAAAAAAATTAAAACTTTTCCTTGTTGCTGCCAAAAAATTAAGAAATCTGAGACGTCGCGTTTTACCATTTCATACAGTTCTCTTTACAATGTATTTCACTAAACTACTAAACGGCTGCACCGACTTGGTTCATATTTGGCAAAATAAATCTTGAAAATAAATATTCTGACCAAAAATTTACTCGGTATGTAGCTCGGGATATTCCTAAAATTCTTATACAGACTAACCGCCCAATTCTATGTTTTCTTGATAAATTTTTTGTAAAGAAATTTCATCAAGATTTGTATCAAGCAAAAGCTTCGTTCGCATTCTGTGTCAATATTTATAAAACAAAAGCTCTACGATTTCCACATTAGTGGAACTGATTTCCACATGAGTGCAACTGATTTCATTGTCACATATGAAAAATATGAATTTAAAAGCGAAAAAGCTTTTGCCTGCCGTATCCGAGTATGTAGAGATGTCGACTATAATTCCGTGTGTCGCAGGTTCAAATGCCGGCACATGGAGTATTTAATTGTTAGAAACTAATTTATTAAGATACAAAATTTATACATTTCACATGAAATTTCAATTGGTCAATAGCATTTTCAATCTTGATAATTTATCAAGAAAAGGGCTTTT